CCCCCCCCCCCGCCCATCCCCACAGCCCTGGTCTCCTCTCTTGGCTCTGCTCCGTGAGCCACCAGCCCCGTGTGACGAAGGAGCACTTGAGATGTGGCGGATCTATAGTGACAGGAGACAGGAGTGTGAGTCCACCTGGGATTTTGAAGACTTGGTACAGAAGAGGAGGATGCGGACTATCTCACTAGCAACCTGATGTTGATTACGTGTTGAAATGACAACATTTGAGATATACTGGCTGAATAACATATACGGGGAAATGAATTCATCTCTTCTCTTTTTACTTTTTTAATGTGGCTCATAAAAAATCTGAGATTAGACACGTGGCTCGTGTGGCATTTCTGTTGGACGGGGCTGCCCTGGACCATCTTGACCTCCCCCCGGCCTCGCAGCCTCCAGCCCGGCCGCACACGGTCCCTCGGGGGTCCTTCTACACCTGGAGCTGCCCCTGCCCCTCCACAGCATCCCCGGGACAAGGTCACAGCCCCTCGGCCTGGCACGAAAGAGCACGCGTGGTCTGGCCCCGCCCCAGCCTTCCAGACTTCTGAGGCCTTTGGTCAAAGTGGTCCCCCTATACCCAGACCACTTGTCCTCTATTTACCTGTCACTCTTTCCCTCACCACTAGATGGGGTCAGCACGCCCAGGGGCTCCCACAATGTCTGAGCGACCCCATTCTAGCACATATCCCTCTGGGGAGTGCTGTCTGGGCCCATGTCCATCTCCCCAGCCAGTGGGGGAGCCCCCCGAGGGCGGCCCTGTCGATTTGTCTCTGAGCCACCGCCCCTGCCCAGCACCTGGCAGGCCTGACAGCACCTGGAGCAGAAAATGGTGTGTCAGCCGCTCCCTGCGCCTGAACATGGCCCGAGAAGCTTTTGTCCTTCCTAGGAGACCCTGTCCCCACAGTTCCTCTGGACGTCTTCCCTGATCACCCAGGATAGACCAGATGCCTTCCCTAGACCCACAATGCCCTGGGCTACCTCCACTCCAGCTCACGTCACTGAGTTTGTCTGCCTCCTCCATCAAACTGTGAGCAAGCCGAGGTCAGGGATCTGTGGCCCCAGGACAGCTCTGCCCTAGGCAGACAATCTCCTTACGAGGTAAGACGAGCAGGGGCAAGGGGGCTGGCTTACTGCGCTGACCGTCCCAAACCTGCTGTGTAACCCTGGACCACTCACTGGCCCTCTCTGTGCCTCACTTTCTTCCCCCTGTAAACCAGAGTAGTTGAACCAGGGCTGCCAGGCAGCTGAGGAGCCTCCTCGGGGTGGGTAGTAGGCACCCCATCACTGGAGGGATTCAAGCATGGTGTGATCCAGCCCCCAGGGTCGTAGTAGCTTGATTTCAATGCACAGGGCCTCTGTGACTCATGATCACAGACGCCAGTGTTTGCTGAGCACCTACTCCCTGCAGGGACTCAGCACCTGTCACCTCACCTCTTACCTGCCCCACTTAGGTGGGAGCTGTCACTCACGAGCGTGACCCCGAGGCTCACGGGGCACAAAGCCCTTGCTGGAAGCCACACGGAGGGAGAGCACACCAGCACCGTTCCTGACGGACCCGCAGCAAGTTCATCCCGCACTTCCCACGAGCCAGGTGGGGACCCGAGTGTGTCATCAACACCCTCATCCCACCCTCTCACCAAGCCTGTGAGGGAGGAGCTGCTATCAGCCCACTTGACAGTTGCAAACTGAGGCCCAGGGAGATTCAGTATCTTGACCAGGTCATGGAGCTGGAGAGCAGGAGCTGGGACTGGGATCTGGATCCAGAGCCTGTTCTGAATCCCAAATGCCATCCTGCCTATCTCAGGAGGAAAGATTTATGATCTCCTAGTCCCGATGGGGAAAGTGAGGCCCAGAGAGCTTAAGGCACTGGCTGGAAGGCACACAGTGAGAAAAGCGGGGCTGAAGTTGCTATCTGCCTGACTCCAAACCCCACAGCAATAGGGGGTGCTCAGGGTCTCACAGCCACTCCTTGGGTCGTCCCCACCTGATGAAGGAGGAAACTGAGGCTCAGGGCAGGGAAACGACTGGTCCAAGGTCACACAGCCCAGCGGTGCCAGGCCTGGGGCTCTCACTTCCTTGAGACGCTAGGATTACACGCCTCTTTGTCCTGATCTTAGAGGAGCCACAGGGCTGGAAAGAGTGAAATGAGAGGGTCCCCACCTCAAAGACGAGGCATGGGCCAAAGGAGGAGGGGGCTCAGGCAGACCTGTCTGTCAAGGCTGGGGGGCTCTGTGGAGTTGGTTACCCACCCAGAGAGAGCCAAGACCTGGGGAGTTTCCCGCCCCTTCAGCTTCTGGAGGAAGTCCTGTATCCTCCAAGAAACTGAGAGGTGGAAGACGCCCCCACCCCCAAATGGAGGAATTTAAGATTAGGGAAAGGAGGTGAGATCTGTCTCCACAGGAGGGGAGCGGAGAGGTAAGGCGATTGGCCTCTTAGGATGCGGTGAGGAGGTGAAGGGAAGAAACTGACCCCAGGAAGAGGTGAGGAAAGAGGGTAAGTCCCCCAAGGAGTGAGGGATGCTAGTGAAGCCCCTCTCCAATCACCTGTCAAACTGGATGTGCCCCCTGCTCGAGGGTGGGAGGAACTCGAGGATGCACCCCGTGGCCAGGGGCGGGGTAACTGCCTAGGGTCTTTCTCCCCCGCTCAGAGACCTCCCCACCTCGTCCGGGGGTCCGGGGAAGACCCACTTCTCCAGGATGAAAACAGGAAATCCCGCCCCGCTGGGCACCGGGGCCGGAAGTCCCGCCCTCGAACGGGTGAGGGGCACCCCGAAGCCCCCCGAGCAACCCCCCGACCCTGTGGACGTGGTCCACGGCCAAGATGAGGACCCTGGTGGGTCTGGAAACTGGAGGATAAGGCCACCTAGTCTTTGCCTCAGGTCAGATACGACGATTCCAGCGGGCGACCCCTGTCCAGCGCTCGGCGTAGGGTCGCTGGGCGACCTCTGCCCTCTGACCTACGCAGGCCATTCCCCTCCCACGAGCGGCTCGCCCTCCCAGCGCCCCTCTCCTCCGGACTGCCAAATCTTCCCCACACCGCGCTTCACAACGCCGCCTCCACTCACGTGCCCGTAGCCAGCATGGCCGGCCCGGCGCCGTCGCCGCCCTCAAAAGACATGGCGGTGCCTTGCGTCACTTCCGCATGGCTGGCCCTCCTCCACGCCGCACGCTCCACCTCCCACATCCGGGCCGCCCGAGACCAAGATGGCGGCCGCAGGGGCTTCACCGGATCACAGTGGCGGAATGGTGACAGCACGGTACCCATAAGAAAAATGGTTGAAAAAAGGCTTCGGCTTGCTCGAAAACAAGCCTAGACCATTTCGATTTGCCCCTAAGAAATATGGCCGTCTGCACATGCACACTCAGGACCACGGTTCACTAAGGCAAGCGACCTTACGTCCCTCACCCGTAAGCAACCTCTTCCACAGAAGTGGAGGAAAGCAGTACCCGTTAATGACACGGCAGCCAGCCTGGCATCATTTGCCCATAATGTGTATGGGCTCTCCCTCCAGCCTATCCTCCTTCAGCACCGAGGCTAGCAGAGATCCAAAATGGCAGCCTTTCTTGCTTCGCTTTGCCCAGCTTTAATATGGCGGTGCAGGCCACTTTCTCTCGGGGGTGACTCAGGAATTCACCTGGGACCGCTTCGCTCCTGGGGATACTGACGGCTTCATCCCGTTCACCCGAGACCCTCAGCACCCCTTGTGACGTACAGTTCCTCTCACCTTCTTTTCCTTTATCCGTTTCTCCTTTCCAGGACTCCCCCCCGCCCCCATCCGTCGCGCCCCGCAGAGAGATGGGACTGCCCCGCATTAACATGTCCGCAGAGGACCGGCCTTAGCCCTGCCCTGGAGCAAAATGGCATCTCTTTGGCTTCGATGCCAGTATACAATATGGAGAAAGAGTAGGCATTTCGGAGGGAGCTTGAGCGAGGGGGTGGAGCTCTTGGATTCGGCTTGTTTACTTCGTGAGGGCGATAGCACTGCGCCTGCGCACTCTTGCGGGCCAGCTCCACCTTGAGCGTCTGTGCCACGTGACTTAAACCCTCGTGGTTCAAGTTCGACCACCCGATTCTGAAAGATGGTTACACCCTCTCCTGTTCCAGGACAGACATGGGCGCTACCACTGTCCGGGCTTGAGGGGAGCCTTCTACCCGGATGTGACCGCACGTTGACCCGGAAAAGGAGGGCGCCGGGGCAGTGGGGCCTGGGCCGCAGCTATGGAGGGAGCAGGTTACAGGGTAAGCACTGAGGACGCATTCTTTTCTTCTGTCTATGCGAAGCGCCCCGCTCCGGTGGTCTGCTTCTCCCTCAGGCCGTGCCGGGGCTCTGGGAGCCCGACAGCTCCTTAGCAAACATACCATTCCCTTATAAACGCGCTGTCACCCTCCCCTCCACTGCCCTAGGGAGACCCGCATCTTTTAGCCCCGCCCTCTGGGCTGCTGAGATGCTCTCCTGGGCCCAGCCCCCTTGGGAATGCACTGCCCACTTCTCCCCGTCGCTCCTTCTCCCCTCACCACCCTCCTCTCCATCCCCTAGTCCCCGCTGCCAGGCTAGTGTCGGCTTCACCCCGTCCAGCCCCATCCCCTCGGTGAGGGTCGCCTGGGCCCCGCCCCCCTGGGGAGAGCTCCTCCCCCGGCCCGCTCCCATTGGCTGCCTCCTGGGCCCCGCCCCTCACTGGCGCCCGCCCCCAGGTGGTGTTTGAGAAGGGAGGCGTGTACCTGCACACCAGTGCCAAGAAGCACCAGGACCCGGACTCGCTCATCGCCGGCGTCATCCGTGTCGTGGAGAAGGTGGGCCGGGAGGGAGCAGGGCTCGGGCACGCCCAGAGCGGGATGGAGGCGGCCTCTGTAGGAGTATGGTCTGGGGGTCGGCGATGGGACCTCAGGGAGGCTGGGGGTGGGGACTAGAGGGAGAGGCGGGGCGTCGGAAGCCTGAGGGTCCAGGAGGAGGAAGGAGTTTGGAAATACGGTTTGGGGAGTTTGGAGCGGAGCTCTTCTAACCCGTTCCTCCTTACCTCAGGACAACGACGTTCTCCTGCACTGGGCCCCTGTAGAGGAGGCTGGAGATTCCACCCAAATCTTCTTCTCCAAGAAGGTGGGCTTCTCTCCCTTCCTCCCTCTCCACTTGCTTTTTTCTAGGTCCAGGCAGAGGAAAGCATTGGAAGGACCTGGGTACAATCCCAGACCTACCATTGGGGCGCGTGTGACCCTGGTTGGGATCTAGGTTCTTTCTGCTCTTCAGTTGGTTTCCTTCTCTGTGTGAAATGGGGTGAAGACACCCATTCGTAGAAAGCAAGCAGACACCATGAGATTCGTGGCCACGGGGACAGCTGCCCCCTCGCCCCCTTTGCTTCTTGGGAGAGCCCTGCCAGGTTGCAAGAAGACAACTCAGCCTGTGGATTCAGGTTCCACAGGCTGTCAGCCCATAAGAACTTGAAGGGGCAGTCCTGCCATCGGGTCTGGAGAGGGAACAGGACCTGACCGAGGCTGCTCACCCACTTTGCCAGCAGCCTTCCTCTCCCCTTCTCATTACCAGATGTCTCCTGAGGCTTCCTGAACTGGACCCAGAGATGAGTCCAACTCAGACCCTGCCTAAGCCCTCACTCCCATTCTCTTTTTGAGAAACTGTGGCACAACGGGAGAAAGCCCTTTTTCCGAGGTCAAAAAAGCTAGGAGGTGTTGGAACTTGGGTTTGAACCCAGACACTCTGCTTCCAGAGCCGCGCCTCTTCGCGGGGGAGCACACATTTGGGCTGGGACTCTAGAGATTAGAAGGGGGCACGAGGAAGTGTGTCGCAGGGCACAGGGGGAAGGGGATTCTCTGTAAAGGGGTTTGCTGGAAAGGTGTTTGGGCCTGAATTGCCGGGCTGAGAAGCTTGGACCCTGTCGTGGGGGCACTGGGAAACATGAGGAGAAGGGTGTGGGTGTGGAGTGCCCCCTCTGGTGGGCCACGTGGGAGATGGAACAACGGACCGAATGGAGGGAGATTGGAGGCCGGCAGGTTGGGGAGGATGGCCGGTGTGAGAGAACATGGAGCCTCAGCTGGGGCTGTGGGGTTTCAAATGACCTGGGGGGGCACAGAGGGAGATTCCAGAGGCCCCCCACCCCCACCCCCGCCCCGAGGGAGCTGGGGAAGAAGCGACCAGGGTTCTGCATTTTTCACCGACTTCGCAGGCAGTCTGAGTGGCTTTCTGGAGAATACTGCCATGCTCTTTGGCACTCTTGTGTTCGAATAACAGAAACGCACTGAGATGGGCTTCAGCAGAAAGGGCACCTATGCACTCAGGATACATTCAGCTCCAGGGATCACAAAACCAGACCAATGACAGGTTAGGAAAACAAGTTTGCTTCTCTTATCTCACAAGATTCTGAGAGGTATGGGACTCCTGGCCTTGGTTGGTGACCTCAGGGCCTGGGTCACTGGGACCCTGCTTTTCTTGTCCCCGTAGCCTTTAAATGATTGCTTCATCTCCAGCCATTGCATCTGCCTTTTAAAAAAGGCAGAAGAAGGGGGCAAGCAGGGTACCATTCACATCTGTCCTTCTGATCAGGAAGACAAGAGATTTCCCAGAAACTCTCTACCTCAGTTAGGAGTTACATCTGCTGTGTGTAATAGAAGTAGGAGTAAGAGCGGCCTATACAAATAGAAGGTCATTTCTCTCCTATTAAAAAGCCCAGAAGTCAGAAGTACGAGTTCACATGTCATCAAGAACCCGGTGTCCTTCCATCTTTGCTCTGCTTTCCTCAGCATGTGGCATCCATCCTCCAGTCTCCCTCGTGGCCCAGAAGGGCTGCTGGAGCGCCAGCCTTTTTGGCTGTTTTTGCTCACTCTACAAGTGTGTTGCAGGTTGGCCAAAGAGCTCCGCTCATTACGATTACTCAAGGAAGCATGTTGCTGGAGCAGCCACCATCTTAAAAGTCGACATTCTTTGTGGCAGAGGGAAAGAGTTCTAGAAGTCTTGCCCTAATGATTAAAGAGTCCTTCCTGGAAGTGATAGATACATCCCAGCTCCTTAGCCAGAACTAGTTGCACGGCTCCACCACCCAGTAGGGTTCACCGAGCTGTGATCTTGCTGTGTGCTGGAGAGGAGGAAAGCTGCAAATATTTGATAAACATCACTATTAACTGTCATTAAATTGTGTAAACATCAGCTAAATCATTGAATTCTTCATGTCACAAGACACGAAGGGCAGAGGTGGCTTTGCCAGGGCTGGTTCAGCAGCCTTGTGGACAGGTGTTCTTGCCACTCCTTGGCCCTCCCTTCATGGCCCTAGTTGGCTGCCACAGCTCCAAACACCATGTTCTCCCTTGACAGCACCCAAAGGCTAGCCTGAACAGGATGTTCCCTCCTGTGGCTGCCTTTTATCAGGAATTTCCCTTCCTCAGACACCCCACAGATGTCCTGTCAGCCCCCACTGGCTGGAGTTGGGTCCCCAGGCTGCTCAGAACTGCAGGGAAGGCTGGGAAAGCGAATACCGGGAGATGTCTGCTGCTGTGGTAGGGGCTCTCAGCTTGGAAGCAGCAGCACAAATGGCTGTTGGGTAGACGCCCCCCTCTGGGTCCTTCTGGCTTCATGGCTCTAAGCCTGCAGGGTTTCATTGCAGGAGTCACAAACTTGGCAGTTACTTTAAGCAGTAAGGGATTCAGTACAAAGAAGCGGAGGCTCAGAGAATTCTGACAAAGGCTGGAGGGACAGGGCCGACGCTGCAGGACTGACCTGCCAGGGGAGCTGCCACCATTGCCGAAAGGCGGGCGGTGGGGGAGGGGACTGTCATTGGAGCTGTTGAGTTCAAGAACACTGCCATCAAAGCTGCTACTCGGCCCCCTCAAGCTGGTGACTGGGCACTGGAAGGCTGAGCTGGCCCCACCGCAAACCCAGTGGCTTCTCTGTGTGTGAGAGAGAAAGAGAGATGAGTCTCCTTGCTTGTTAGCCAAACCTGGCCAGAGCGGCAGGAAGTTGCCCTTATCTGATTTCCACTTTCCAGATCTGAGTGCATCTGATTGGTAGATTCTGTCTTGTGTGTGGAACTCTAGCTGCAAGGGAGCCTGGGAAATGTAGTTTTTAGCTTTCTAGCCTTTGCCATACAGGAGGGCACACTGGCCTGGGAGTGGACTCACAGTCGCCACAGTGCTCACACACTTTGTCCCCTCCGTGTCCTCCTGTGTGGCCCGTGGCTTTTTCTGCACTCTGACCCTCAGCACGGCCCTCCCCTGCACGGTTCCCCTGAATCTGCCCAGCAGACCCCTGAGCTCAGGTCAGAGCAGCCACCACCAGCCCCATGGTGGTCACTTACGTGATTTTCACAACCACCTCTGGGGCAGCGACTTTTTTTTGTTGTTGAGATGGAATTCACTTACCATAAAACTCAATTTTATGGTAACATTTAAAATTTCCCTCAATAGTTCAGTGGTTTTCAGTATTCACAGGATTTTGCAACCATCACCACCATCTAATTCCAGAACATTTCATCATCCCGAAAGAAACGCTGTATGCGTAGCAGTCGCCCCCCATTACCCCTCCTCTGGCTCCTGGCAACCAGTAACCCACTGTCTGTCTCTATAGATTTGCCTCTTCTGGACGTTTTGTATAAATGGAATCCTACAATACGTGATTCTGTGTGACTGGCTTCTTTTACTTAGTACAATGGTTTCAAGGTTCACCTGTGTTCTAGCATCTTTCAGTCCTTCATTCTTTTTCATTGCTGAATAATACTCCATTGTGTGGCTAGACCACATGCTGTTTATTCATCGGTTGGGTGGACAGTTGGGTTGTTTCCGCTTCTCGCCTATTATCAGTAATGCTGCTGTGACCATTTGTGTGTGAATTTGTGTGTGGACATTTGTATTCGTTTTTCTTGGGTAGATACCCGGGAGTGGAACTGCTGGGTCGTGTGGTAATTTTGTGTACAACCCTCTGAGGAAACGCCCAACTTTTCCACAGAGGCTGCACTATTTTACGTTCCCTCCAGCAGTGTGAGAGGTCCCAGTCCTCGCAGGTGCCTGCCCTTTTTATTCTGCCATCCCAGGGGGTGTGAAGTGGTGTCTGATCGTGGTTTGCATCGAGCTGCCCTAGTGACTACCAACTGCTTCCTTTAAGCACTGGGGCCCCAGGCAGTCTGACTGCAGAGCCCCCGCCCCTGATTAACCACCTGCTCCCCCTGCGGGGGGCTCTCGTTAGAGCCACCACGAGACTTAGCTCTGAGTCCTGGCACAGTCCCAGTCCTTGCCTGTGCGAGGTGACCCGAAGCAAGTGCTATGCCCTTTGTGCCTCAGTTTCCCTTTTTGTTCATGGGGGCTGCCTTCCAGGGTGGCCTCGTTGCTCAAATCTGAAAACTCTGAATCCACGGGCCCTCACTCTTTTCCTTTCTTCCCCCAAGGACACCAGTGGGAGTGACTCCTGCACCTCCGAGGAGGAACCGACCTTTGACCCTGGCTATGAACCCGACTGGGCCGTCATCAGCACCGTGCGGCCACGGCCCCGCCACTCAGAGCCCACAAGAGGTAGGTGGGGCCGGTGGCCCTGGGGGCGAGTGGAGGGAGACACGACACGTCTTAGCCTCAGTGGTCACGGCTCCACGGGCTTTGCTGCCCACAGTCAAGATGGCCACCTGACACTGGCCTTCCTGTCGCCGGAGAGTGGACGGGCTGCAGGATGTCCCTGGCCTGGGACCAGCATGGCCAGGTCCCCGGGGTTTGCAGCCTTGCCCATAGCGCCAGGCTCCCTGATTGGCTGTAGGGCCCCCACATGAGTCCTGCTTCTGGAGTTTTCCAGGCCATGGGGGCAACAGATGCAGGGTGTCAGGGTGATTGGAGCCATTCTGGAGTCATGCAGGGTGCTGGGGGCACCAGAGGAGGTGTCCAACCCCTTAGGGGGTGGGGAAGCCTCCAGGAAGAGGTGACACCAGAGCCTGGCTCTGAGGGACACTGGAGTTTTCTGTCCCGGCCGAGAGAACAGCCCAGGCCAGGCCAGAGGCTGGGGGCACGGGGCAGGTGTAGGAAACCGCAGCCTTTGGTTGTGGCTCGAGTGTGGGGTCTGCAGTGAAGGGAGGGTTGGAGGGGAGGCGGGCAGGAGGCAGGGGATGGCTCTGAGGGGCTGGCGGTGCCCGGCTGAGGAATACGGTCTTCATCCCGAGGGCCCCAGGGAGCCAGGTGGTTCTGGACCAGGCACGTGTCTGCCAGGCTCCCTGCCCGTTTGATTCAGGTGTGTTTCCGAGGAAACAGAGGGGCCTGGGGCTGGCACACAGTGGGCTCTCAGGAGACGACCGTGCCGCCTCGGGCTCTCCCACCTGCTCCCGACACTGTGCCCTCCCCCCAGGTGCAGAGCCCAGCTCCCCCCGGGGGTCCTGGGCCTTCTCAGTGAGTCTGGGGGAGCTCAAGTCCATCCGCCGGTCCAAGCCGGGCCTCAGCTGGGCCTACCTGGTCCTGGTGACGCAGGCCGGAGGCTCCCTGCCCGCCCTGCACTTCCACCGCGGGGGCACCCACGCCCTGCTGCGCGTCCTCAGCCGCTACCTGCTGTTGGCCAGGTGAGCCTGCTGCCAGCCCGGCCCGGCCCCCTGCAGCTGCAGCCTGGCGCCCGGGCTGTGAAACAGGCACGACTCAGACTCACTGCAAGGCAGAAGAGGGGGATCGACTGGCGCGTGTAACCGCGAAGTCAAAGGAAAGTTAGAAAGAATCACACTTTTTCCTGAGTTGGTAGCATTCTCGGGGGGCCCCCCCCGCAGCCCTGGCTTCAGAGCCCGGTGGATAGAAGATTCCAGCAGCATCCCAGGGCTGCCTCTCGTCACCCTGGCAGGGAGGTGGGAGGTCCTCGTTGGCCAGCCCTGGGTGGTGTGCCCGCCCTGGGGTCCAGCTGTGGTCTCAGGCCCGAGATGAGGGGCTCCCGAGGACAGTGGGGAGGCTGCGACGGGAAGGGGGCGGGATCGCAGGCGGGCCCCTGCCCGTGTGTCACCCGTCGCCGGCTGCCCAGCTCCCCACAGGACTCCCGGCTCTACCTGGTGTTCCCGCACGACTCCTCGGCCCTGTCCAGCTCCTTCCACCACCTCCAGCTCTTTGACCAGGACAGCTCCAACGTCGTGTCTGTGAGTCGGGCAGGGCTGGCCACAGCTGTGGGCGGGAGGGCCGCAGTGGGCCGGGCGCGAAGGGGCAGAGCCGTGACCGGCCGGCCCTGTCCCCAGCGCTTCCTCCAGGACCCCTACTCCACCACCTTTGGCAGCTTCTCCCGCGTGACCAACTTCTTTCGGGGAGCTCTGCAGCCGCACCCCGAGGGGGCCTCCCCCGACCTGCCCCCGCCCCCCGATGATGAGCCCGAGCCGGGGTTCGAGGTCATTTCCTGTGTGAGTATCAGAGTGGACCCCGCTATTTTCTGGCTGTCACCTTGGGCACGTGACTGCATTTCCCTGGGCCTCAGTTTCCTCCGGAAAATGGGGATAATAATGGCACCACCCTCTTCAGGTTGCGTGAGTGACTGTGCAAAGTGGTTATAGCCTGTGCGCCTGGTGTCTGTTACTTTGGGGGAAGGAGATGCTTCCCGCCCTGAGCGGTAACTGTCTGTCGAGCTGAGAGGGGCTCTGAGTGACTTGGAGGGGGCTGGGGAGTGCGGTGCGGCCCCCGGGAGCCCAGCAGGCCGGCCGAGCCCCGGGGCTCACTTGCCTGTGCCCCACAGGTGGAACTGGGGCCGCGGCCGGCGGTGGAGCGGGCGCCTCCGGTCACAGAGGAGGAGTGGGCCCGCCACGTGGGCCCCGAGGGCCGCCTGCAGCGGGTCCCCGAGCTGAAGGCCCGGATCTTCTCGGGGGTGAGGTGCCGGGCGGGTGGGGAGGACTGGGCAGGGCCAGCGGGCAGCCAGGGGAGGCCCCTCTGAGCTGCCCGCCCCGCTCTGCCCACAGGGTCTGAGCCCTGGCCTGCGGCGCGAGGCCTGGAAGTTCCTCCTGGGGTACCTCAGCTGGGAGAGCTCCGCCGAGGAGCACAAGGCCCACGTGCGCAAGAAAACGTGAGTGAGAAGCTCTGGCCCCGGCCCTGCCAGGCCTCTGGCCTCCCGAGTCAGTGGAGGGTTTGGTCCACAGTGTATCCCAGTGGCCAGCATGGCCCCGGCACCTCACAGCTGCACGGGCGGCTTGCTCCCCAGACATCGCCTGAGGTCCTGCTGCGTGCTGGACGCCAACCCGCGCCCAGGGGAGATGGAGGCAGATGGGCTGGGCCTGTCTCCGTCTCCAGTGCCATTTTCATCCTGGCGCCACGCTGTTTCAGTGACCACTTTGCAGCGGGCTTCCTCACCCCCTGGGCCCACCTCCCCTCACTCCTGGTGTGTATTGTGCCCCTGCTGTGTGTCCTGGTGGCTGCCGCCTGTGCTCTCTGTCCCTGGGGGTGACAGATTTGGAACAAAAGCCCGCAGGTGTTCTGGGTCGTGAGAGATGTCAGAAAGGGGAAGCATGGGGCGGTGGCAAGAATGACCAGGGGAAGCGGGGGTGGGGGGGGGAGCCTCCGAGGCAGTGACGGGGGCTGGGCCCTGAGGAATGAGGCGGGGCGGGCTGGGTGGGGTCTGGGGGCCGCGCTGCAGGGCGTCCTCACATCTGGCCTCTCGCCCCCTCTCAGGGATGAGTATTTCCGCATGAAGCTGCAGTGGAAATCCGTGAGCCCCGAGCAGGAGCGGAGGAACTCCCTGCTGCACGGATACCGCAGCCTCATCGGTAGGTGGGCCGGGGGAGCCCCCTGCCGCCCCCGGAGCGGGGTGAGGCCATCCACAGCGGGGAGGTGGGGGGAGCAGGGGAGGGGGGCCAGTCTCCTTGGGTTTGGATCTGCCATCTGCTCACTGTGAGGTCTTGGCAAGTGATCTTTCCTCCCTGGGCCTCGGTTTCCCCATCTGTGGATGGTTTAGTGACCGTCGGTTGCTGGGAGGATGTGGTGAGCTGGCAAGCGTGAAGCACAGCACCTCACGCGAGAATGTTGGAGATGGTTCTGGAACAGCCCACACCTGCCTGGGCTTTGCCGACGAGAGGGCGGGAGCTGGTGCCGGTGGCGCCTGCAGCTTCCACACCTTCACACCTGTCCCTGCAGAGAGAGACGTGAGCCGCACTGACAGGACCAACAAATTCTATGAGGGTCCCGAGAACCCCGGGCTGGGCCTGCTGAACGACATCCTCCTTACCTACTGCATGTACCACTTTGACCTCGGTGCGGTGAGGTGCCAGGCGGGGAGGGGCCGGGACCAGGCCTTCCTCGGGTGGGGGCGCTGAGGGCCTGGGTCGGGCCCTGACCCCGTCTCCCCCCAGGCTACGTCCAGGGCATGAGTGACCTCCTCTCCCCGATCCTCTACGTCATTCAGAACGAGGTGGATGCCTTCTGGTGCTTCTGTGGCTTCATGGAGCTCGTGGTGAGGTTCAGGGCCGGGGTCGGGGACGCCCCCTCAAAGGATTGGGGGCGGCTCCTCACCGGGCCCTCCCACCCGCAGCACGGGAACTTTGAGGAGAGTCAGGAGACGATGAAGCGGCAGCTCGGACAACTCCTGCTGCTCCTGAGGGTGCTGGACGCGCCGCTCTGCGACTTCCTGGGTACGTGTCTCACTGGGCGGCCGGCCGCGCCTCACATCTCCGCTCAGCTTGAGCCGGGGGTTGAAACTGGTTCTCTGGGCACCTGGGGCTGGGGCGGCTGTGTTCCAGCTTTAAAATGTTTCTTCGTTACTTGTTCAGTGTGAAGCATGCAGGAAGTTGAGATAAAGAAAAGAAAGTCAAAGTTGCTATTGACGGTAGTATTCTTTTGCATGCAGATGATGATAAGTTAACTTATTTACGGGCATTTCTTCACTGACATCGAGGCTCCCCCTGGGGGAGGGGGATAGAGCTGGTCTCACTTCACTGAAGAGGAAGCTAAGGCATAGAAAGCACGCACCTCATCCGGGGCCCTTGGGTGTTAGCAGCCTCTCTGTGTCATTAAAGATTTTCTAAACCATCACCTCTATTGACCACGTGGTGTTCTGTCCATGTTAAAGATGTACAAGAACATTCATCCTGACCCGCTGGACGTTTAGGTTATTTGCAGTTTTTCATGGTGATGAATATAGTCTGGATAATTTCTTTAGATTAAATTCCAAGAAGGGAAATTGTACCAGGGCAGTACATATTTATAAAGCTTTTGTAATATTTGTCCCGATCCCTGCTTTCCTGGAAAGTTCTTTTTTTTGTGAGGAAGATTAGCTTTGAGCTAACATCCGATGCCAATCCTCCTCTTTTTTTTTTTTTTTTGCTGAGGAAGACTGGCCCTGGGCTAACATCCGTGCCCATCTTCCTCCACTTTATATGGGACGCCACCACAGCAGGGCTTGATGAGTGGTGCGTCCGTGCGCGCCCGGGATCCGAACGTGCGAACCCCGCGCCGTCAAAGCAGAGTGCGCACTTCTTAACTGCTGCGCCACCGGGCCGGTCCCTCCTGGAAAGTTCTACCAACTTGCCTTTTTGCTAGCAGCGTACACAAGTCCCAGTTCCCTTACACCTCCACCGGCACGGGGTATTGACTAGGTTTCATTTTCCCCTTGAGTGGTCTGGTCTCACCGCATCCCTTCCACGTGAGCGTGGAAGACGTGGGACCAGCTCACCTCGTCTGGGAGACAGGATGGGAGAGGTTCCTATTGACAGAGAGTGAGCGTCCCTGTCTGCCTCTGAAGCCTCCCCACGCGGGGCAGGAGTTACACGCCCAGGCTGGTGGAGGTTCTCACAGCCGGGCGGACTTGAGTCTCACTGTGGATTAGAATGGGATTGGAACTGGTTTTGAGCTTGCTCTCTGCTGAGCTCCACCCCCGCCCCCCTGCAGACTCCCAGGACTCCGGCTCTCTCTGCTTCTGCTTCCGGTGGCTGCTCATCTGGTTCAAGAGGGAATTTCCCTTCCCCGATGTCCTCCGGCTGTGGGAGGTGGGCCAGCCAGTTTGGGGGGGAGGGCGGGGAGGAAGGAGAAGTTAACCGGCCATCCTGCCAGTGGGAGGGAGGTTGGGGGAGGTGGGTGGGGGAGGGGCAGAGCTGGGCGGGACCTCAGGCAGAGCTGGGCCGTGACCCCCCCCCCTTTGGCCCCCCTAGGTGCTGTGGACAGGGCTTCCCGGCCCCAACCTGCACCTGCTGGTGGCCTGCGCCATCCTGGACATGGAGCGCGACACCCTCATGCTCTCCGGCTTCGGCTCCAATGAGATCCTCAAGGTGAGGCCCTGGCTCCCTCGGTCCTCGCCCTCTCCCTGCCCATCCCGACCTGCACTGGACGGGGCACATCAGCTGGGTGTGAACTCTGGGGGCTGGCACTGCGCCGTGCCACAGTACCTTGTAGATGTAGGTACTCAAAATGGGATTGCTGAAAGTACTCAAAACAGCTGAGCTAAGCATCCATGAGGCGGGGGCTGTTTTTCTCCTACCCCATCCTTATCCCTGACTCCCAGCGGCGTCCTCACAAGAGCACGTGGCCCCTCCCCCAGTACATTAACGCGGGGCGGGGCCTGGGGGGGCCCTGTGCCCTTCTTCATTGTATCCTGCGTCTGGCAAGCAGCCTGAGACAGCATGACCTCCTGGATCCCCCAGCTCAGCCATTAGCCCCCAGAGGGCGGGCCTGGTCTGTCTTCCTCTGCTGTATCCCCAGCGCGAGGCCCAGAGTGGGCACCTGGGCGGTGGTGGTCGAGGGCCTGCAGACAGGCAGGCCTGACCCTCCCCCTCCCGCAGCACATCAACGAGCTGACCATGAAGCTAAGTGTGGAGGACGTGCTGACGCGGGCTGAGGCCCTCTACCGGCAGCTGACCGCCTGCCCGGTGAGTCCCCGACCCTTCCCGACAGCCTCCCCCAGCCAGCAAACCTCTGATTTCTCGCTCCCCACCCCCCAACCTTCTAGGAGCTGCCCCACAACGTGCAGGAGGTCCTGGGTCTGGCGCCGCCGGCAGAGCCCCGCAGCCCCTCGCCCCCTGTCTCCCCGCTGTCGCTGTCGCCCACCCGGGCCCCACCAGCCCCGCAGCCCCCAGCGGACACAGCTGCGCAGCCAGACAGCAGCCTGGAGATCCTGCCAGAGGAAGAGGAGGAGGAAGGCGCCAACTCCTAACCCCCCTTGGCCGGCGGTGGCCCGCCCAGCACAGGCACTTTATGCAGCTCCGGCGCCACATCCCCGCCCCCCAGAGTGGGGGGTTGGGGAGCGTGCGGAGAGGGGCGGGCTCCCCGCCGTGCCTCCTGCACTCTCCTGATTAGCTCGTCTAGTTAAGCTGATCCTCTTGTCCAGTTGGCCTCGTGTAGGTGGAGGAGGCAGGCACGTTGGCTTGGACCTGGATGGGGAAGGGGTGGTGGCTCATGATCCCACCGGTCGCTCTGCAGAGCCGAAGTCTGACCACGTGACCCTGGCCCGGCCAGAGGCGTAAGAGGAGGTCCTTGGGGGGTGACTGGTGGGGACTTGGGGAGGCATTAGGATGGGATGTGGCCGCCACCTAGTAGCTGTGCGGGGACACATCCCGGACGTAACCGAGCCGGAAGGGCCCGCAGAGCTGCTCGAACACTCCGGTGGCTTTGCCTTCCCAGCTTGTTACGTGAGAAAAATAAACTCGTGTTTAACCCACTGTGGGTCGGGCTTTCTATTACTCGCATCAGGCCCCATCTGTGTCGTGACAGCGGCTGGGCACCGTGAGTACCATTTACCCGTGGTGCAAAGCAGCGTGCGTCCTGCTCCTCCTCTCCCTGCCCCCCACGGAGCCCACTGCCAGGAAGCAGCAGGACGGCTTCTGGGGTTCCAGGGTAGGCGCAGCCCCTCCTACCGCGCGGGCCGACGGCTTTGCTCCATGCAGATGGGGGAAGCGACCGAGCCAGGGAGGGGGCAGGACCACGGCTTTTTCCAAAAATACTTTAATGTTGGGTCCTCTCGTGGATCGTGTACGGTGCGTTCAAAATACGTAGGTCTGGATGGTGGGGGGCCTCCCCCCTTTCCAAGTCGCACTTCGACGGGCGGTGGCTGGGCACCACGTGCTCCAGCCCGCCCCCGCGGTTGATCCGGTTGTTGATCAGCACCGCGGCCCGCAGCGCCGACTTGACGGCCGTCTCCACCCAGCCGTGCGGGTAGGCCGTGTGCTCGCCGGCGAAGTAGATGCGGCCGTAGGGGACCGCCCAGTCGTAGTCCGGCTCGCCGTCCTCTTCGGCTCGCCAGAGCGTGGGCGGCTGCACCACGAAGCCGCCCTGGCTGTGCGGGTCCTCCGCCCAGCGCTTGACCGTGCCGCTGCCGTCCCAGAGCCGGTACGCGACCGGCCCGTGCAGCGCCGCCACGTCGTCGAGCGCCAGGCGCAGCGCGTCCTCCAGGCTCAGGCCGGCGAAGGGCGCCGCCGCGTCCGACCACGTGTACGAGGCCAGCAGCAGCGCGCCCTCGCCCGGCGGCGGGTAGAATACCAAGCGCGACGGGCGGTCGGTGTTGGAGTGGCCGCCCTCGATGTGCTCGTCGTTCCAGAAGGGCCGGCGGAAGCTCAGGAACACCTTGGTGGCCGGCACGTAGTGCAGCGCGCGCAGCGCCTCCTGCCGCTTGCGAGACAGCGGCGGCGAGAAGCTGATGCGCCGCAGCGCCGGCCCGCTCACCGTCAGCAGCACCAGGTCGGCCGCCAGGGCCTTCATGCTCCGCGCCCGGCGCGAGGTCGCGATGTGCACGCGCACGTCCTGCGCCCCCTGCGTCAGCGCCACCACCGGCGCGTGCAGCAGCACCGGCCCCGACAGCGAGCTCAGCAGCGCGCGAGGCAGCAGGTCCCAGCCGCCCACGATGCGGCTGTACCTGTGGGCGAGGCGGGAGGTGACCCGGGCTGTCGGGCCCTGCGCCTCGCCAGCGCCCCCCACCCGCCTCGTGCACTCCCTGCTCCCTGCCCCGGTTTTCACCTGGCCGGTTCCCTCTAGTCCCGCCCCCTCCCGCAGGCCACGCCCACCCGCTACTGGCCCTGATTGGCAGCTGCCGCTCCCCGCTAGCCCCGCCCACTCACCCGCCCCGCCCTCGCCGCTCCCTGACGTCCCCCGGGCCCGGGGAGCAGAGGATTTCGTGACCCTGGAGCCCGCCTCGTCCCTGGGCCACGCCGCCTCCGGGGACCCCTCCTAGCCGGCTCCTCCCGAGGGCCCGGGGTGCGCGCGGCTGCGGCCGGCCCTCCCGCCCCCTGGCCCTGCTCTGGCCTCCGCAGGCCGCGCCCCCGCCCCCCGCGGCCCGCCCCTCACCGCAGCCGGTCGCTGAGGCAGCTGTGGGCCCGCAGGGCCTCGGCGAAGCTGAGATAGAAGAAGCCGTCCTTGGACATCGCGTCCCCCAGGAGCCGCGCGGCCGGCTGGCTCAGGTTCCCCTCCCCGAGGAGGTATTCCTGGGGGACGGGCGCGGCCCGGTCAGGGCCTGGGCAGGCTGCACCCCACTCGCGTGGGGACCCCTCCCCGGGGAACCTCTCTTGTGACACATGAGGGAAACTGAAGCCCGGGAGGGGCGCGTCCCTCGGGTCGGGCAGGGAGCGGTGGCAGGCCTGGGCTCCCGGGTCCCTCCCTCTGACTCCCGGCCGAGGCCCACGGCGCCCTCCTTGTCCCGTTTCCCCGACAGCGCCGCCGAGGCCCCCCTCACCAGGAGCGTGTGCCTTTCAAACTTTTTCATTGCTTTTTTGCAGCCCAGCGTCTTGACATCTTTGAGGGCCTGCGGGGGAGCAAGCAGATGGCGCTGAGCTGCGGGGACGGGGCCTGGCAGGGCGCGCCCTGAGTGCAGACCTGCATTCTCCGCCTGCTCCTGCCCACGGCCGGCCAGTGGCCACTCCCGTTCAGGCCCCGGGCCTCTGCCCATGCTGTGCCCTCAGCCTTGCCCTCCACTGCTCTGGGAAGTCTTCCCCGTGAGCCCCGTGCAGGCGGGGATGCCATCTGTCTCAGTCAGTGCTGTGTCCTGCTGGCACTCAGTAATTATTTGTCACCTGGATCACTGTGGGCACAGACAGAAGCAGAGTCCCTTCTGCCACCCGCAGCCCTGACAGGGCGTGACTGCCCAAAGCCCTCCCGTGGCTCCCCAGCGCGCGGAGCCAGAGTTCCAGCCCTCGCCCTGGCCCCAGGTCACCATCTCTTACAGCAGCTTGGGTTCTACAGCACGGGGGCCAGTGCCCAGACCACCCTGTGGCTCCCCCACCTCCTCTGGGTCTGGCACACGAGTGGCCATCCTTCACCGCTCTGTTCAACTCTCATCCCTCCCAGAAGCCTCGCTGCCCTGTCTGATTCCAGCCCACCTGGAATCTTCTTTGTCCACTTGGCTTCTCCATTTGGTGGAGGAAATCCTGAAGGGTGTGCCCCTTCACTCACTCACTCACCATTCATTTCACATTTCCCTAGGTTCCCTGAACGGGGCCATGCCAGGAAACAGAAATGGCCTGGACTCGGCACCCACCCTCGTCCAGGAGGGGAGATGGACAATTAGGAGCTCCCAGAGGAGAGTGAGGCTAGCTCCTCCCTGAGGGCATCAGGGAAGGCTTCCTGGAGGAGGGGACATTGGAGCTGGTTCTTGAGGGATGAGCAGGGTTCCCTGGGTGGGAAAGGGAAAAGGCCTTCCAGGCAGGGCAGGCGGCAAGGACATGGGTGTGGGTGTGGGTGCAGAAGTCACCAAGCATAGTGGATATGAGAAGTACAGAGCCGTGGGGGTTGGGGCCACCATGAAGGCTTTAGGGGGTAACAAAACTTTCTTGGAGGAGAGAAGATGAGGGTAGCAGGGTGGGAGAGGCCAGAACGCTTGGGGCTTGAACCTGAGGCTGAGGCGCTGGGGAGCCACGGGGGCTGTGAGCAGGGAAGGGGCAGGGTGAGGGTCCAGAGGAGAGGATGGGGCATGAGTTGGGGCCGGGGCTGTGGAGACAGAGAGGTGGGAACAGTGCAAGAGAGTCGGGTAGGAGGATGTGGCTGGGGGGAGGTAGGGAGCGAGCATGGCACCTGGGGGTCAGCCTCATGACTGGGGGGTGATGGGGCCCTTGTGAGATGAGGGAACCCGGGAGTATAAGTGGGTTTAGGGGAAGATGCTGAGCTCAGTGGGAGCTGGAGGGTCCTGGGAAATGGCTGGGGGAGATGGACATAGGTCTGGGTCTCGGGAGATGGCTTTCTGGAAGACATCAGCCTGCCGATCAAAGGTTTAAACCAAAGCAATAGAAAGGAGGTTGTCCAGGACAGCGCATGGGTGAGAAGGGGGTCAGAGACCTGAAGCTGATGGAGCCTGGGGGACCAGCAGTGTTTGTGGCGATGGGGAGGCCAGAAGGAAGGAGAGAGACCAGGGAGGAGGCTGGGCTGTGGTCCAGAGAAGACGAGGGGGCGCGGGACGTCCGGCGAGGAGCACTGGCCGGCCGAGGGCAGGGAAGGGGGACGGCTGCGGGCCTCGCGGGCGCGCCTACCTTGCTGAGCGCCATCTGGTAGATGTCCTCCGGCGAGTGGCCCTTCTCCCTGGGGCGCAGTTTGTAGCCCAGCTTCTCGGGCATCTTCTCCACCACGTAGTTCCGCAGCTTCACGTTGTTCACTTCCGTCCACGTGTTCTCGTTGTACTGCGTGAACTTGGTCAGGTTGAGGCCCAGGCTCCTGCAGAGCTCGTGGAGGATCCTGAGGGAGCGGGGGAGGCTGGTGAGGGCCGGGCGGGGGGCAGGGGGCCCCTCTCCCCAGTGGGGCTCGGAGGAGGGAAGGGGGCGGGTAGGGCAGCTGGGGATGGGCAGTGGGGCTAGAGTTGGGGTCCTCAGTGCTGGGGATGGGAATGGACAGGTTGGCAGGCTGAGGGGGGGACTGGTTTAGGATGGGGTTTGGAGCAGGAGTTGGCTTTCACTGGGGATGAAGTGGGAATGGGGACAGGGTTTGGGTGGGATGGGGACTTGGGGTGGGAAAGGGACCAGTGTCAGGGGACGTAGAGCTGGAGGCCTGGAGGGGCTGGGTGCTGTGGCCTGAGCCTTTCAGGGGTACAGTGGTGGGCCTGGAGCGAGGAGATCCTGAGGTTGACATGAGGGAAAGGACGGAGTGGGAGGCTGGGTCTAGACCTGACTTGACTGGGGGGCTAGGTTTGGGGTCAGAGCTGAAGTTCCAGCTGGCACCGAAGGGGGATGAAGTTGGGGATCTGGCTGAGTCTGGGCACAGAGGTGGGGCTGGGGGTGGCCCCGGTGCCCTCCTGGCTGCCAGCTCAGGCCTCACCTGTGCGAGCTGGGCATGCGCATGGCTCCCAGCTCCCCAATCCAGCCCGTATTCGGGTCCCGGTAGGTGAAGATGCGGCCCCCAATCCTGTTGTCTGCCTCCAGGATGGTGACCTGAGGGATGGGGGGTGGCGAGCAGGGCCCTTCAGCCCCTCCCACTGACCCCCCATGCACACCCACCCTGTGCCAGACCCCCGCCTTCCATCCCCACAGTAGCACAGACCTAGACTAGAGAAAGGACCCTTTTCTTAATGGGGAGGTACAGGGGCTGGTGGGAGAGCAGAACATCATAGCCAGCGCGTACAATAGAACAATGTCCAGACTGCAGCAGAAAGGCTGCCAGCCAGATTGCAGAGGGACTTCCCAGTTCAGGAGTGGGGAGATTTCTCGTATGCCGCCCGTTCTCATTCTTGGATTTCAGTGAGAGAGACAGTGGTTAGACCTCAGGGGGCACTTCCCCTTGGGTGGAGTTGCCATCTCCACCAACACAAATTCCCCCCAGGAGCTTGGAGGAGGTGTCGAGGGATTTCCCTCTGGGAGGAGAGAGAGGGGGGCAGGGAAAGTCAAAGGCTGAGAGGTGCAGACAACTGCTCCCTCTGGGTTTCACGTTAGAGGGGGTTTCAGGCCTCACCCCCCAGACCACAGGGGAAAGCATAGCTCCCTCACCCCACCTCCCACCACCCCACCCCCTCAACAGGGATGTGGCCGGGTCCCTGCACCCAGGACTCCCAGCCTGCAGCAGGAAAGACTCAGGGTAGACTGCAAGCAGCACTTCTCACCTTGTGTCCAGCATCACTGAGCACCTTGGCGGCCACCAGCCCGGCCACACCGGCACCAACCACGATCACCCTCTGGGGCCTCGAGGTCCGATTGAGGCCCAAAGTCACCACTTTGAGCAGCTGCTCATAGTCAGGATCCTGCATGCATTTCTCGAAGGGGTACTGGCTGTGGGCAGTCTTCCAGTTGAGGGAGGCCGCCAGGCTGAGGAGGATGGGGACCAGGACGAGGAGGCGCCGGGCTGTGGAGGAGGGGGACAGGGCTGGTGGGCAGGTCAGTGGGCATGTGGGGGGACAAAAGCGGGGTCTGCCCTCCCTGTCCCTGTGGCCGCTCCCCTGCTCACTTACCTAACGGAGCCATGGCTCTCCACGGGAGACAGTGTCTGGGTTGGAGGAGAAGCAAGGGCCGCTGTGAGAGGGGCCTGGGGCCCACCCCGGCCTGGCTCCCTGC